ATATCAGTTGAACTCTTATATGTGTGAACGAATTAAACTAATTATAATTTACAAGAAAAATGTTAATTACACTTCTCTTTTAATTAGTCTCACTTTCACAATCATTATTATTATATGAATGATCGTATGTCACAAACACGAAGACATGAATGATATGAGTTCTCACTAACCAACCCATCCAGCTCATGATGTATTGTTCTAAGAGAAACAATAATCCAATTTCTCCACCATTGAAGTCTCTATGAGCTTATCAAATCAAATACCAAAACTCTACAAAAGTTTGCACGTGAAGGATTTCCGATATACTTAATTCCATGTTCTAGAATAACCTATGAGGGATCCAACACAGATTCGATTACCACTAGGCAACATTTTATAATTGTTAAAGCTCTAGTTTAATTTGTCACAGTAATATGCAAAGGTAAATATTCATTGGCAATGGCCACCATCAAGTCTTTAAGATTTGGTGGGGTGGGGTGGGAGGCAAGGGTTTCTAAAGTTGTGGCAAGGGTTTTCAAATTTTGCCTTCCACCAATTGCCACAGTTGTGGCTTTCTAAATCCAGACGGGTGTGTAGTGCACTCGTCTAATCCGATAGTAGTTCAGTCCCCGTCGGCCCTCCTTTAGACTCAGTTGGATCTCCCCAAAATAGGTTAGAATAGGAGTAGAAATAGATATATAATAGACTGTTACCGATTGTCGAAAAAAAAATTCATTGGCACTTTTTAAGAACTTAAAAAATTATCAATTGCGAAGAGGTTCTTGTCAAAGCTGATTGCACGTGTTTCATGTTGGATTCTAATTGAGCCTCAATTGGTCAATGTCTTTCTCTGACTTTCTTCTATTCTACTGCTTTTTACTTTTATCAGAATTTTCCAATTTTAATTAAAATTTGTTGATTTGAGTTATATATGCTGTGTTGGATGGTCTCGCAATGCTTTTTTTTTTTTTTATAATTACTTTCTTTCTAGGGTCATTGTCACTTTTCAATTATTGCTTTGGTGTCGATGAATAAAAATACAAAAGAAATCAAAAGTTAATAGTGAGGGAATATACCTCATACACAATCACGAACGAGGGACTATACCTTTTATATATGTGATTACATATTTTTTGTGAAAGTGTACATGTTTATCTCTTTTGGTGCATACATTTTGATTATATTTGAGTCATTAAGATCTAACTTAATTGGTGGAAACATTAACAAGATGATGATAAGGTCCATGGATCGATTGTCAAGCTTTTCTCAATCACTCTTCTTCCTCATATAGTTTGAATGATAAGGTTCTTGGTTCGATTGTCAAACTCTCCTCAATCACTCTTCTTCCTTGAATAGTTTGAAATCTCTATTTGAACACAACACAAAAAAAAAATAAAAATCAAACTTTATCTTTATTTGGCTCATCCTTCAATTAACCATATCACAACTTGGAAGAAATAGGATGAATTGAGATCGTATTTTGTAGGCAGTCGCCTTGAATGTACTAAGCATAAAGTATCTGGGTAATTCGTTTGTCTTAGAAAGTGACCAACATTTTAACTCAATATTTTGAAGAGTGCTTAGATTAAGTTTAAGGTAGATCTTTTACCTTAGTATTAATTTATTTTCCAATAAAAGCTTTAATTGACAGAAACGAAAATCACTCAGCATGGAAATGATTATCAAAATGCTTTGCAAAACGTGACAGTTTGAAAAGCTAACTTCCAAAAAATCACATTCTAGAACGTTAACTGTCAATGGACTTCTGGTCCAAAACCCTAAAATTGATCAAACTTTCGTTCTTGTGGGCGACAATATTGTTGAACAAAATCTTTGGCAAAATGCAAAGTATGTGTCAAGTTTATAGTAACCAGTATTCAGTATTGATAGCGGCTTGTGTCGGCAGATACAGAGCTTTTGTTCCAATGTTAGGCACTTCGAAGACAATTGCTGATTAAAAAAATAGGCAGCTAGTCATATGAGAAACTTTGAACAAGAATTCTAGGCAAAATCTGAGTCTGTTATAAGTGATTATTTCGGCCAGTCACATGAGAAACTTTGAACAATTAGTCTAAATTCATAAAATATGAGTCTTTTGTTGGTATTCCCTTGGTCGCTTTGATATCTTTGTGGTCCTCAGAAAGAGATGAGGCTAATTGGTTGGATAATGTTGGTAAAATCAAAAGCCCATTTTTTGTTTTTCCAATTCAAGCTCATACCATGTACGAGAATGACACTTCTAATTATCTGACCACAATGGAGAGAGAGAAACTCTTTGGTACCGACCCAATGTTGATTAGCACGTTACCCTTCACATCCATGTAACAAAATAGTCAAGTTCCAGAAATAAAATAGATCGATATCCAAGGAAAGGAATCTTTTAATTGAAAATAGGTACAGGTGTTTCTTCGATAAAAGAATGTGAGTGGATTGAGTATGAACCCTTGTATCTGGACATGTAGAAAGCAACTCTGACAAGCAACTGTTAAGGTTGTGTTAACAAACTCTATCCTCGTATTTCAGCATGCTTCTTGCTCCATGTTACTGCTAGAAGACTGAATGTTCCATACTAATATTCTAAAGTTTTTCACCTACATTAATTAGGTTTTGGATCACTTCACTCATCGTCAATTAATTTCTTTATGAATTATTTGCTCCTCAGCTCACATTTGAGGAGGAGGGAGGGGGGACGTAGAAAAATACTAGCTTGTAATGATATTTACATTGGATCGATATTTTACATTACACAAGCATTCCTCAATTGTCGCTTGGATTATTTGTACATATTTATATGTTTGCATTATCAACACATTTTCAACCATCTTTTTATTTCACATATATCGCATTAAAAAAGTACTACAATATTTTTTTAAAAAAATTATCTCAAATAATATACTATCCAAACATTGTTTGGATAGTATATTATCGGATAGTATATTATTTGGGATATGTTTTTGAAAAAATAATGTAGTACTTTTTTTATATGGTATATGTAAAATAAAAATGTGGTTAAAAATGTGTTGATGATGAAAGCACATGAATTTGTTTAAATAATCCACTATCCAAATAAACTAGAAACCCAATTGGTTTTCATTTTTTTGATACCCCAATACCATGAAACACTTGTAACGTCAATACGTTTGCCAAGTTTTGCACTTTTTGGAAATAGTTTAATAAATCCGAATAGTCTCTAATTAATCTCACTAGGAATATATATATATATATATATATATATATATATATATATATATATATATATGTTTTGTGTGTGTGTGCGCACGCGCGCTTCGATTTTTATTTTTATTTTTATTTTTATTTTGTTAAGGGGGAGGTTTTGGATGTTGGGACCTCTCACTTACATTTTTTCTCTCGTATCACCCAATTTATCCCTCCCTCTATATATGCTTTATTTATCAAGCACTTGACTGAAGAAAAAATTTTGCTAAGAAGAAAAGAGCTTTCTATTTGCAGTTTTTGTGGGTACATGCACATGAGTATTATTAAATTGCAGATACAAGAAAACATTTACTATATTGGACGGTACAATATCTCAAAATGTGCGACATATAGAGAAAAACATACAACAGGTTTCATAAGGATTATCTCCACTTTGCATCAATTGTTTGCAGCAGACTTTGCATCTGTACTTCACATAGTTTTCTGGTTAACTATATGTGAAGTTATCGAAATTTGAAATAAAATTGGTAATTTTAGGATGCAAAGCATCAAAAACAACTTCCAGCATCGATATAGTAGTAAATGATAACTTTAATGTGCAATATGTCTATAACAAAAGTTGAGTGTGGAATGGAAGAATGGTCGAAAAGGTTACGCATGCAAACTATAATTAATTTGGTTTTTGATAAATACGCTTTGAGAGTACTGATCATTTGTTCCTAACTAAATATTAAAAACTAATGATCATTTAATTTATCATTTTAAGCTTTCATTTATGCTGTTGGAGTGCTGCATTCCGCGTATATGCAATTCATATCAAACTTGTTTTTCAAGTCACCGTAGGTTGGACCCTAAAGAGAGTATAATCAGTGACTCACTTCAAATGGTTTTTTTTTTTTTTAGGTAACGAAAGCATGAGATTTAAAAATCGGGAAGGGAAAAAAAGAGCTTAAATTCGAGATCTTCATTTTAGTCACTAATTAAATCAAGACTTTCTCGACTAATTCAAATGTTTAATGCACCTTAACTTCAATTAAATATGCGAAGATATGATGTAGCTTGAAACTAAAGGAAATGAAAGGAAGAAGGAGAAAAAGAAAAAGGTAGTACGTACACATACAACAAAGGCAATGTTGTAGCTGTTCGTATTTGGTAAAATGAAAGGATTTCGAGGATCAATAATTAATAAGAAAAGTTATTTAAATTAATTTGAGCTTTGTAATAAGCATTGGTGTTGAATCTTGATTTGGACCAAGATCTCTTCCTCTTGAAATAAGCACATCCTTGTTCTGTAACAGGAAACACGGCTTTCGACCTTCATATGTAGCATCATTATCCACAAACAGTCCTAGTCTTTTTTTAGAGAAGTTTAGTCCTAGGAGACAATGATCAAGCTAGCCAGCTAGGTTTCCTATTTCAGATTTCTTTTTGGCGTCACTTCCCAGGTACATATTCTACGGGGCACGGGCCAATTGATTTCACTCTATTTTCTTACAAGACTAGAACCCTGGGTAAAAAATGAAAAAGTAGCAAGTACTAATATGAATGCAAATCTAAGGATTTTTCAGAGAGTTATAGGCTTATAGCCGCATATCTGGAACACAAATATGCACGCGGACAATGTAAAAATGGGAAACAAATGAAGATTACATTAATAAGAAACAATTTGGTCTTTTTCTCTCCAATTGATTATTAATTATTTTGCTGTGGTCACTTTCAATAAAGGTTAATTTCTCCGACCCTGAAATTACTCGGAAGCTGCCTTTTCTAACCCTTGAACGTCAGGCTGAGCAATTTGGAATGACTATATATGGCAAGGGATGAATATTCTTTTACATGGCACTGAATTTTGATCAACAGATTATCCATCCTTGCAAACCTGACTGATAAAAATGGAAAGCAACAACGTTAAAAAGAAAGTTGGAACCCCTTCTGTTTATAGAGGGGTCAGGAAGAGAAAATGGGGGAAATGGGTTTCTGAAATAAGAGAGCCAGCAGGAGATAAAAGAAGAATATGGCTTGGGAGCTTTGATACCCCTGAGATGGCTGCTGCTGCCTATGATACAGCTGCATTTCACCTGAGGGGGCAGGCGGCCCAGCTAAATTTCCCTCACTTGGTGGATTATCTTCCTAGTCCAGCTAGCTCAAGTGTTGAAGATATGAGATTGGCAGCTCACGAAGGTTCTTTGCTGTTGAAGAAGTCCATTGGAGACCAGCATAATTATGATGATCAAGCTGCAGCAGGAATTCCTGTTACCGTGGTCGATTATGCTGCTCAGCCTGTCACAGTAGGACTCTCCCAGAGAGAGATTCAGGCCATTCATGACTTGCCATTGGAGTCACCAAATTACAATATGTGGATGGAGATGACATCTGGCTCAAAGTTTTTAGGAGACCCGGTCATTTTTCCAGGTGACTATGACCATGAAATGACTGACTATGTAGAAGTACCTGATGATTCCTTGTGGAATCACTAGGGAACTCTTTAGCGGTAGTAGACATGGGAGATCTTTCGGCAGGCTTGGTTTACACCCTCACTTTTAAATTATGTGGTATATTCAAGAGGTAAATGGATTTTCTTGTGTCATCATATCTCATCCACCGTCACGTTTTTAACATCATTATATTACCATGATTATATATCTCTTGAATGTACCACAAAATCCACAAGTTGACAAGTAAACCGAGTATTCTCCCGTATCCGTTCATTGATTTCTTCAAGCATTTACAAAGAAGTCACAAGGATGGTCACAAATCTGTGCAATTAATCTGTTGTTTCAACCAATGTTACCTTAATGAATGCCAACAATTGAAGATTGTTCTTGTTTCTTTCTTTTCTCTTTTTGGGAAATCTGATTGACCACCAAACACATCAAAGGAGTATGCTTTCGCAACTCATTGGATTGGCTGTAGTTTGACGGTAATGATAGATGGAAGTACTAGTCCAGGTAATATTGCCATACATGCATATTCTTTTTTGTAAAAATGGTTAAGAAGATGATCAAGTACTAGTCCAAGTTATTAGCTTGGAGCTGATTTGGGGGAGTAAGTAGTTTATGACTCCTTTCGTGATCTTCCCCGCTTGGTTAGAGGAGACATTACTTTGGATAGGTGGGGTTGCCCTAATTTCCGTAGGGGTAGATATAAAGGATAGGTTTGGTTAATTGCTCAGACATGCTGGGGGTGCTGTCTCCCTCTATATATTTTTGATTCCTTATAATAATATAAAATTTTGATTCAAAAAAAAAAAAACTGGTTCATCAACGTAGCTCTCTTCTGGTCATTATTGATTTATTAGGTATGTAATTTTCTGGCCATTAATCTGTTAATGCTGCCCGAATCAACGCCAAAAATTAATTGACGATTGTTCCTGTTTCTTTCTTTTCTCTTTTTTGGAAATCTGATTGATCACCAAACACATCAAAGGAGTATGTTCTCGCAACTCATTGGATTGGCTGTAGTTTGATGGTAATGATAGATGGAAGTATTAGTCCACGTAATATTGCCATACATGTACATATTTTTTCTAAAAATGGTAGAGAAGATGATCAAGTTATTAGTCTAGTTAGCAGGTTCATCATTGTAGCTCTCTTCTGGTCATTATTGATTTATTAGGTACGTAATTTTCTAGATCTTTTCTCCTTAACTGATCAACCAACTTCATGCTTTCAACGATGTTGTCGTTTCACTAATACACTAAAGACGATTCATGGTTCAAAGTCGTTTCTGAAGTAGTGAGATTTTTCAGTTCACAAAATTGAAAAGTTTTAGCAGTTTATTAGGGTCCGTTTTGCTGGTCTGCGTCTTGCATTATTTGTCTAAAACTTACTATAGGGAGGAAATATGGGAGAAGGGGGGAAAGAACGGAGTGAAGGGTGGAGGAAGGAAAGGAAGGAGGGTGAAGGAGGGGGACTTGGCTCTTCTCCAGTAGATCCCTTCTCCATTTTTCACAATGAATATTTGGATACATAACATGTATCTTCATTTGTTAACAGGGTTTAGAATTAGTCAAATTTAAAATGATCATGTCTCTTTCTAATAAATGAAAACACATGTTGTGCATCAAGATGTTCGGAATCAAAAATGGTAAAAATCCACTAGAGAGGAGCCAAATCCGGAGGAGGGAGGGAGGTAGTGGCACTTCTGGTGTTGACGTGTGTTTTTGGGTATTTAAAAAAAATTTTGGTGTGCTTTTTTGGGTATTTTTGTAATAAAAGCTTAAGGTGTTCTTAGATGTTTTTAATAATGCAAATGATATTACTACTCCAAAAAAAAGGTTGAGATACTAAATTTATAATTGTTAAAAATGAGATAATCACCTATAGTCTAGATTCTCTTACAATTTGAATATCAAAATTACCCTCCAGATATAGTTTAATGATCATTTTGTAATATTCTTATAGAGAACTCTGTACAATTGACTACAAAATCTTAATTTTTAAATTAAAAAGCTTTATCATTATTTCAAGATGTAAAAAACTAAATTAAAAATAATGAACAAATTGAAAAGTAATATATAGACAACGCTAAACAACAAAAGCTTGCACTTTACTCAGGGACTACTAAGTAACTCATATTAATATGGCATTTTTTTTTTTAAAAAAAACACTATTAGGAATTTCTTTTATTATTAATTGTACAACAATTTAAAGCTAATTTAAGAGTAAGAAAAACTAAGTGAATTGAAGAGATAAAAGTTATTGGTGAATGTATAGAGAGGTAATTTACTTTCTTAGAATATCTAATAGGTTTTGCATTATTTCATTAAGTAAAAAGAAGAGTAGAATGTCTGGAACTTGTTTTGAAGTATAAATATCATTTGCCTCTTAACACTTAGTGTAGATGGTAGTTTAGACAAATTTTGTATTTCTAAATGGACCTACCAAATAGCTCCTTAATTTTAAAGTTGTTTGGGATTGTGTTACCAATGATAGAAGTACATCTATGGCACTTGGCAAGGATCATTCCTGAACTGGCTTTGCGTTTCATAAGTTGGCTATCAAGAAGGGTTTTAAAATCCCTTAGGGCTGTAGGTTGAGTGTTCACAACTCCACACGTACACTTAAATTGTAGCCTAGAAGATGTGTAGTAGTGCACCTTTCTAGTGATCCTCTCCTAACCCTTCATATAGCTTAATTAGACGCTTCCTTCCCCTTAGAGTAGAATGGAATTGGTTATAGATGTTGTGTATAAGGAACAAAAGGGTAAGCATGATTCATGTAACTAAATTTGTAGCTTAATAAAATTTAGGGCAAGGAACCTAAACAGCCACAAATTAAATTACTAAAATTGTATGCCTTTCACCATTTAACTATTTCATGTTTGGTGCACTCAATAGTGGTATATGAGTTGTTATTCTGTCTGAATTTGTCGTCCAATTTACATTTTTTTCCTTTAGTTTTAGACTTATCTATGTTATTGTATAAAAATTCTATTAAGTAATTTACATATGGACTAATTTCATTTTGTACATCCGAACTTATACTCTATTTTCACTGTACCACAAAATTCAATTTTGAACGGTTAGCATCCCAAACTCTTAGATTTGTTCCAGTTGAGTCAAATCGATAATAGCGTTAGCAAAACCAAAGGAATAGAAGACTGATTACACAACACGCTTTTTTTACATGACTAGCTGATAATAATACACTATCATCTAGTAGAGCGATTTAGGTATACATTATGTGCACAACACTCTATTCTATTAGTTTTGCTAACATTGCTATGGATTGGACTTTAGTGGGACAAATCTTAGAGATTAGGGTACAAAATATCCTAGCTTAAAATTTATTGTACAGAGTAAGAATGAGGTACAAATTAAATTTGAGAGTACAAATTAAGTGAAATTATTACGTGTCTATGTGTGTGTGAAGGAGAAAGAAGAGGAATGGGATAATTGCGAAATGCCTTGCAATTAAAAAAAATAATAATAAATGAAAAGAAAGAAAAAGAATTGGGTAAACAGACAAAATATAAATAAATATATAACCAAGATGTTTTCTTTTTTAAAGGTAGGAGAGGAGTGGGATATACAGGAAAAAGAGAATTTGAATCTAAAACCTTCGATCTTGGGATATAACCCAGTTCTCTTAATTTTTCATAAATAATCTTGAAACTAATGCAAAAGCATAATTCTAATGGCAAAGGTAAACAAAATGGCCACTGGTATTGTACTTCCATAAGTTGAGTGGATGATTTGAAACAAAAGATAGTCAAGTAGCCAAAAGTGTGCGATTTTTTAAGCTAACTACACTTTTACAATGCTAACACTCGAGCACAACTTAACCAGATTTCTAAAGACATTTCTTAGACACTCTTTCCAATTTAACTTCAAATTTTCTTTTTAGAAAAAATTCAGTGCTACCGGTCAGTTAGACAAAACCTAACTAATTCACATCACCATTCACCATAAAGACTTGCGTGTTAAAGGGGTTTTCGCATCATGTCCAAGTTGAGACCGATCAGAGTCAAACGGGCTGCAAAATGGCCTTTGTGTTATGCAATTATTCGTATTCAACAACTTCTTGTCTTAGTTCGTGGCTCTTTGTCTTTACATTTTTGGTGAAGCCATTGTTGCTGCAGATTTTACGGCGTCTGTAGCCGGATCTTTCAAGTGCCTTGCGGAACAAGAATTCCATCTAGATTTCGTGCTATTGTAAAGTTAGATTCTAGGAGTGTGCTTGTTATACAGTCATTTATTATAAGGAAATACTACTCCTTATCTATGGCTATTATAAAGTTAGATTTTAGGAGGATGCCTGTTATACGTTGATTCATTGTAAAGGAGTAGTACTTCTCTTTTTTTTTTCTTTTTTTTTTTCTGATGGAGTGGGTATCCGGGCCAAAGGTCCGACTAATTCCACTCCGACATGGGAGAGGAGGCCCCACTCCACTCCGAGCACGGTAGCAAGGGGGCTCGAGCCCTGGTTGCCCACGTAAATTTATCATATTCTAAAAAGGGGAAGCTGACCGCTTGAGCTAACTCTTAGGGGCAAAGAGTAGTACTCCTCATCTATGACTTTTTGTCAGGTCATTTTCCAAAGGTACGATTGATGCCCCCTCCTAATGTATTTTCTTTTATTTTATTAATAAAATTGGGATTGGCATCTAAACAAAAAAGATTATCATTCACCAATAAACAGTTTTTATATATATATATATATATATATATATATATATATTCTTACCTTTTTAATTCAAAAAAATCATTCAATTAGCCAATTAAAATTTTTGGCTGGGTATCTATTCCACCTAAACCATATCTATACAATATATAAAGGAAGAGCAACACTATGTGGTGTAAATACACAGTGTCATTTTTTTTAAATTTCTAATCTACCCTTAATTATAAGGGTAAATTGGTCCCAATATATTCTAGAAAAAACTCCCCACAATCAATAAATAATCATCCCTTTGAGATAAAATTACAACTTTCTCACACTAACTCCCTCACATCTCCACTTTTTTCCCCATAATTTTTTAAATACAATGACTTTCTCTGAAGTAGTAACTAGATTTTTTAGATAAATAAATATCCACTATGATATGTAACTTAATATGAAAAAAAATAATCACATATTTTCTTGAAATAAGCACACACTTGTGGTGTGCCAAAAACACATATTAAGTAAACTTTTGGGACTTGGTAGGCAAGCTCAGCCCAATGGGTTTTGGATTTTATCGAATGCAAAAATTAAGGCCTATTCAGCCCATCATAATTTGTCCCCATCACAAAATCAATTTTTAAACGAGAAATACATGTTTTACGATTACTCTTTCTAATTCATTTTCCTTCTTCCGGAATCCTGGTTGACGAGGGCGAGTCCCGGGCCCCCCCCCCCCAACTTTTAGAAAATTTAGTTTGCCTCCCATAAATAATTGAACATTTTTAAAAATATAAGCTTTTGTCCAAACAAAAATTTAAATTTATTTCATTTTATATACTTAGATTTAGATGTATTAAAATTCCCCTTCCTAGTGTCAACTTTTTATTTCCTTCCCCACTTGTGTACTTGTAAATTTCAAGAAACTAAGACAGTACGAGAAGAAATTGTGCCATAGAAATTTTTTTGTAATAAAAAGTTTGGATACATTCGACTGCTATCATCACCACGGTCAGGACATACCTACGAAACCATATATCGTTTATAGAGATTTTGATAGATCGTCCACCAATATAATCCTCATATCAATATTGAAATTCAAACACGTAATCTTTTGTGAGATAATAGACCGTTCTTGTCAATTGAACTAATTTCTGTTTGCTTTGGCGTAGAAGTTAAAACTTATCATCATCACTCATTTCGTACAAAATATTAATATGGGCGGCTTGAAATTACAAAACGAAGAATACATTGAAGAAAAAAGTGGACGGAAAGGAGACGGGCTCAAAGTAAGTCAACCGGACAATGCCGGTGTTCAAAGCTCAATTTCGATTGATCACGTTACGCTTTATAATTAAGGGTTTTTCACGCGTTGATATGAAATATTAATGGAAGACAGACTCGCAGGTTTTGGCATTTGGTTTGGGTACTTTTCAACATCCAGCTGTTAGAAATGACATGAGCCATTGAAAATTTGTCTTTTGTACCCGATTTTGTGAAGCTTCTTCCTATTTTAATTTGTACTGTGAAGTACACGCAGTCATGATACAGCAACTGGGATGTGTATGGAGACTTGGCTAATGTTCTACAAACTAAATAAACTACTTATCTATCATCAATGTCTTGCGAATATCATCATCATATTTTGTTGGTTCAACAGACGTGCTGTACTACACGGTACACTTTTTAACCAGAACTGTGCTGGCATAACACAAATTAGGTGGAGAAAATTCAGTAGTGAGGAGGCCTCTTCAAGTTCTCTCTACTGTTGCTGTCAGATTCAGGGTTCGAATTCTAAATCTAATAATTGGAAGTAGGAAAGGTGTGAAAAGACGTGGGAGATTAAAAAAAGTGTTAGATTGAGAAAAAAAAAAATCATCTAGATCTCATATTGTTAGTGAATATTAGTCAATGTCAGTGAATTTTCAGTGAACATTAGTCAATGTCAGTGAATAAAAAAAAGCCTGAGGAAACCACACATTAATATTAATCAATGTGACTGAATTTTCACTATGTAATACATAAGTGATGATCCGAGGGAATTATCTTTTACTAGAGCACAATTTGATGATCCAAGAGATTAAAAGAAAGGTAGCAACGTGGAAACTCTTTAAATTATATAAAATTATATAACGAGAAAAAGCTGGAGCATAGGTTCAGCAAAATAAGATTATTGAAAGATGACTAGAGTTTCTTATGTATGCTTCGTATTAAAGGGTGCATAATTATTGATTTGTACTATTAAAGAGGTATTGCAAGAAGACTGGGTCAAAGCAAGAATTTTGCTAAGGCATTTCGTATCAAATAAGAATTCTTTTGTTTGCTTTTAGACTACGTTAAATCAATTTTCATACACAGTTATATATAAATGAAATTGATTAAAGGAATAAGGAGTTGGTGGAGCCAATGATACTCCAAATTCGTAAAATAACTTTTTTTTTTTTAAAAAAAAAGGAGAAATCAATCAACTGGGGCATTTGGTTCAGTGTACCAGGTTGCCATGTTCTCAATTTTTGGTGGGTCTTATCGGTTTAATTCTCTTGGTCGTCCTGTTGTTTGGAAGGAGGGCAAAGCTCATAAATATTTCATGCTTTCTCTTGAGTTCTCTCTAATTTAATTCAAACTGTTTTTCCGTGTGTACTTGCAGATTTATATCTTGACACTATGTACATTTTCAATGTGGGGGGTTTTTTTTTATTATACGTAAAAGATTTTCCTAGAAAATGTCGTCCATTTTTTTTTTTCAACAAACAAAGCATACGAGCAAAACTATTTTCTTCTTTAAAAATTTTCTTGGATTTATTTTCCTTTTTTTTTTTTCGCTTTCGGCAATCAAAAGCTGTAGTTAATAAAAAATTTCCGAAATATAGCTATGTCCATTATTCATCTTCAGTTTCTGTCTTCCATTTTCTGATGGTCAAAAGTCCTATGATCGCTCAACTACCACAAGGGATGTATATATATATATGTATGTGTTTGTGTGTATATATATTATATATTGAAAAGTACCACAAGGGATATTTAGTATGATTGATGATCGAAATTTTTGCATACTGTTACGACATTAGCTTTGGTTATTACTTAATTCTCACTAAAATTGTAAATTAGTCCTATAAGATTTGGTAACAAAATTTAAAGAAACCAAACAAGAAAAAAATGAGTTGCAATTAAGGCCTTAAATCTTACATTTCCAAGTGAAACGAAATGCCCCTCCAAGAACCCTTATTGGCCACTAATTCACTATTATCATTTCTCTTTCCTTGATTTATTTACCATTTTTACCATGAGCTGCATAGTATTCTAATCCATGCTTCAGCAATTTTAATTTACCAGTTCTATTCAACGTACGTATTGTTCTATAACATAACTACCTAAAAATAGCATAGCTCCGTGAAGCTCTGTATGATAGCAAAGAAAAAAGAGTGAAGATGTGGTTCAACTAATACTTCTCAAGGATTTGGAATTTAGCCCTCGCGTATCATGTAAAATTGATCTGACTGATGGAAGTGTAATAATAATGCAACCAAACTCCTTTTCATTGGTTGACAAGATGCATATAATTTCTCCCTGGGCCACCACAATATAAGTCACACAATCTCTCTGTCATACGTCTTGAATCCACTTTCATCTCATGCAACTACGTGGAAGCTCACTTCATCTCCTCACTCTCAACTCCCAACTCTTAACTAAATAAAGTGCCCATGCTTCTGGTTTTCCAGGACAAGCATAAATCAATAATGTTATTTATATAGGTTCAGCCATTAAGGGTTCCCAAGACATATAATTTCCTCTTCATTTTACTCAAAAAAAATGGCACAAGAGATCAGAAATGAATATGCCAGACAAAGTTATATAGGAATCAGGCAAAGAAAATGGGGGAAATGGGTGTCCGAAATTCGTGAGCCAGGCAAGAAAAGCAGGATATGGTTAGGAAGCTATGAAGCACCGGAGTTGGCCGCGGCGGCCTATGACGTAGCTGCTTTGCACCTAAAAGGTGCAAGGGCTCGCCTCAATTTCCCTGAATTGGGGGAGAATTTTCCTAAACCAGCAAGTTCGAGTGCTGAACATATTCAAATGGCTGCTCAGGAGGCTGCAATGTGGTTTAAGAGGCAAATTCAGGGACAGGAGGTGAATGAATGTGGTGGTGATTATGCTAAAAGTAGCTTAGTTCCGGCGAGGGTGGGGTTGTCCTCTAGCCAAATTGAAGCTCTATATGAATCACCATTGGACTCACCCAAGATGTGGATGGAATTAACAGGGGCTTTGTTTTCAGCTGAACCTATGGTTTTCTACGGACAAGAAGAGTTTGGGCATAGTGAAGAATTCATAGTGTATAACTCCATTTGGGATTAATTATTTGATACTGTTTAATTAGTGTACAATTATCTTTACCTAAACATAAAGGAAACACTACTATTATTTTTTCCTTGGGGAATTATTCTAATAGCCCTTTACAGAAGAGAATTATTATCTTCCAAAAGGGCAAAAACAAAAGTGTACAAGTTTTGGTGCTAGCAATCAACCATCTTTGGAGAATAGATCATGGTTAGAATCTTGAGGATCTTGGACTGTAGGATGTTGGGTGGTAGGTTGATTTTTATCAATTTTCTTTTCAACATTTTATTGTACTTTGTTGTAATTTGTTGTCTGACCCTTGTAAACCTTCATAATTCCAATGGAATCTCTACTTCAATTCATCATTCATCTTTAACCTTTACCAATTTATGGATAAAAACGAATGTGTAGCTTACTGATTCTAAGTGTGATGTTTGCAAGGAACCATTTTGGAGACTTGCCTCGCATTCTCTTCTATTTTCCAGTGTTACTGGTTCGAAGCAGAGGATTGTGAGCTGTTCGAAACTCTTTGCTATGAAATACAGAGAAATAGAAATGATGTACTCTTCAATGGCAGGTGGATTCTCTCCCAATGGTTAGTTTTGCACTTCATCATCTATCTGCTTTTCAGGAGGCTAATGATCATTCTTCGCCGCTGCTCGCCATGCCTGTTCCATATCTTGGCCTTTGCCTCCTCATTCCCATTACACGGTAACTTTGATGCTTCTGTAACATCAATTAAACATGTTATTGGTGTTGGCCTAGTTATTCGTAACTTTGATAGTCAGTTCATAGCTGGCTTATCAAAAAGATTTGATTTCTTAACCAATGCCGATTTAGAAGAGCTCTTGCAGCAAGGGAAGCGGTATCACTGACAAACATCTTAATGATTCAAAGTTACATTTTGGAAGGGGCAGGGTGCATCCTCAGGGTAAGTGGATGAAGACATTCTCTTGGATATTGGCTTGATAATTGAGGATGTTCGTTTAGCTTTCTTAGAGCATGATATTGCTGATGTAAATTGGATTCCTAAAGAGGCTAACAAGATTGTGCATATATAGTTTAACTCATTTTGCAAAATCGGGCAACCTTGAAGAATCGCTATGGAACTCCCCCATCGAATTTTGTCAAACAAATAGTGTTACACGAAATCCAACAATCTCATTAATAAGATCATTCTTGTTGTCTATATAAAAAAAAAAAAGACAAATGTATGAATTAGGGATTTATGCTACTAAGTCTAAACCAAAAAATGATTGAATTAAGGACAATAGCTTCCTTTTCTTCTGTTTTCACTTTAATTTTTAAACAAAAAAAAAGTGAATGAAAAATTAGCTATAAAAACGATAGGATTTTTATAAAATGTGTATTAATTAAGATACATATTCAACCAGATTGTTACTGGATGTAAAATTTGACTCTCCCATTTGTCAAAGATCTTCATACTTTTAGATATTTAGTGGGTTATAAGAGGCAAAACATTTTCTTTTACAACTTTTCATATTACACTTTTGTTACACTATTTATTTGATTGACACATGTCCTATGCAATAATAGATAAGAATCTAACTTTTAAAATATCTCTCTTGATTGGACACTTGTTACTTTAAGAAATTAGGCAACATAGGTCCCGTTTGGTAAGTAAATTTTTTGAATGTTTGTCCAAAAATTTATTGTAACTTACTGTAGAATTTGTAAAAAAACTTTTTAAAAAGTGTAAAATTTTTTCTTTAAGAAAAAAAAAACTTTCCTTTTTTTTTCCATTTCTCTCCTTCTCGGTCACCCCACTTCAATCTTTTTCTCCCTCTCTCCCCACTGACCAACTGCCGTCGCCAACATCTCCGACGACGATCGGCGACAGAATCTTTTTTTTCCTCTCTTTCCCGTTCCTCCATCTCTTCTCCTTCCCTCTCCCTCTCCTCCACCCCTCCTCTCTTCTCCCCTCCATCTCCTCCCCCTTCCCTTCCACGCCATCTAGTTGCGCTAGGGAAGGGTGAGGAGGAGGGTGGTCGAGAAAAGGAGGGGGGAGGAGATGGCGGGGGAGAAGGGAGGAGGGGAGGAGAGGGGGAGAGGGAAGGAGGAGAGGGAGAGGGAGAGAGGAAGGAGGAAGAGAAGAGGAAAAGGTGAAAGAAAAGAAAAGAAAAAAAAGGCGCCGGCCATCACCAGCAGAGATGGTGGTGGATTGAGGTAGGGGAAGAAGAAGAAAAAATGAAGGAAGGGAATTTTTTTTTTTTTTTTGTTTTTTAGTATTTTAAAGTGTGTAGTTTAAAAATTTTGAAAAGTATTTTGAAATTATTGTATCTGAAGTTGTTAAAAAATTTGTAGGAAAAAAACTTGGCCAAAAACTCCGCTTCCAAACAAGGCCATAGTGTAACATAAAAATGTGTAATAGAAGACCCAAGCCATGAGACACCATTTAAAAAGAAAGATTGAAAAATTATAGAAACTAACTGAATTATTAATCCTATGCCTCATGAATATCCATCAAGGGCCTAGTGAGGTAGTATATACATAGGTTGGGCGGGTATGCTGTTCAAATATCTTTTGGCTTGGGCTCTATGGATCAAACTGGGAATGTCCCAGGTAGATGATTCATTGCTGATGGAATATAATAGAGTAATCAATTTTTTTTCCCCAAAATTGTGTTACTTATAGTCGGGGACAGGTACGGTAAAAGGATAATGTGTGGATCACTATTTACGGTAAGAAACCCGGACTCCCAATGGTTGAATGCTAGGACCGTCAATGGGGCCGGGCGGCCCGAGTTCGGCTCATTCGGCTCGAAAAAAAGTTTTACTAAATATATATAAATTACAAAATACAAAAATATATTTGAACACTCCTCTACTAACTTTCTTAAGAGTCAATATTGATAATGCATAATTGAAACTCTAACTTTTCTTATTAGTTGAGTAAATTTTTTGTATTGGTATAATATTTGTTGATTTCTTTTTTATCTAAAAACACAAATCATCAAGCATATTTGAATTCAAGTCACAAAGCTATGAAGAAGTTCCAACCTTAAAAAATGTATTGACTTATGACCACATGTTTTATTACTATTTTTCGTGTACTTTGAATGAATTAGATATCAATATTGTTTAAAAATTCTTGATTTATGTACTTTTTAAGAACTATTACTCGTTCATGTTTAGTTTTAATGTTGTAGTCCTGTGGATGTTAAATTAGTTTTATAACTCAATAGTTATAGTAATTATATTAAAAAAATTGAAGAGCAATAAGTGAGTTTGGGCTCAGTCCGAATAAGGTTCAAAATCCGAATATTTTGTGAGTTGAGTATGATCATCACATTTATCAATCCGAAACTCATGGCTCAAAACCCGAAAATGATACAAATTAAATAAGTTGAACTTGAACTTATGAAAATTCTCGTATGAGCCAATTGACAGGCCTATTGAATGCAGATTATCATGTCTGCAAAACGTGGCTGATTTTTGGAGCAAATCACATGTTAAACGAGGCTGATTATCATGTTAATATCATGTTCTTTGACTATCATTAGGGAAAACAGCAGTACATATTCTCGCCCACTGAGGACGAAATGTACAAGAATGATATTAACATGTGTAACTTGCCAAATATTGACACCTCAAAATTAAGAATCTTATTTGTCGAGGAGGATTTGGTTTAAGGTAAAAGTTTTGGATTCAAATTTCCCTTCCTTATTGAAAAACATTTTTTGTTAGAAACAAAACTTATTTATTAAAAAGCAGATGTAGCAATTAAACGGCTTATTTTTTATCACTTCAAAATGGGAAAATAATTGTATCATTCGTGTCTCCTTCTTTGGTTACCCCTTAAAAGATTAAAAGAAAACTATCTAAGGCTTTGCTTGGATGGTGAACATTTTCATAATTTTCTTTTTGGAAATTCTAAACACATGTTTCATCACTTTTTTATGTCACTACATTTTAATCAAAAAAATTATTATAGATTCATCTAGTAACATCCCAAAAAACATTCATCCAATCAATGTCTAGATTAATTATTGAACATATCTTAGTGACTTTAAAGAATTTTTTTCTGTCATCCATTTATTTGTCACTTACCTTTTGTAAGTGCTTGCATATCTAAGCTTAGCCAACAATAGGCATAAGCTGTAGATAGGTACTTTCTAATTGAAAAAAGTCAAAGCAGCACTCAACACCGCCAGAATTATCACTTCACCTGTACAATTTTCAGAATTCCTCATGAAGATGTTCCTTCGTCGTATTCGAGCACTGGTTAAATAGATATTCTTGTTAAGGCTAAGATTATTGAGGGACAAAAGCCATTCGGTCTGCCGACGAAGGGAACATTGAGTGCCTTTTTTTTTTTTAACGTCAAGGGCCTTTGATTACTAATTGCACTAGTTATGGACTTGTAGTGGACTACTTGAAAGGGCTACTAAAGTTTCGACACTTAGATCCCATTTAATAACTTAATTTAGCACCTAAATTCAATAAGTTCAGATTTTAATATGTTCATACGTATTTGATGACTAAGACTAGAACATTTGAATAAATTAAGTGGTATGAATTTTCTAGACAAAATTTATTCCAAAAAAATAAGTGATAAGTTATTCACTAATCACTTAATGTGATATACACTTAAATGCGTCAAATTTATTACTTAACAATTTACTAACTTAATGAATCTATATTTCAGATTTCAAACTCTAGAATTCAGTTTTCAAACTTAAGTTTTAGCAAATGCAATTCCCAATTGATACTAGTTACTTCCAGGCGACCTTGAGAAGTCCTCATGTTGCACTTTTGTCTTTAACGAAAAAAAGATATTGGTTCATTCCTTGCATTATTATAATCATGCTATGGTTTAATTTATGCATTAATTTGGATAGGCAAAATGCTTCAAATTTGTGGGATTTAGTTATTAAAAAGGGTTTGATAATAAAATTCCAATGTTGAAAAATGAAACCAATAGTCCCTCACATTTTATTGTTGTTAAATTTAACTCTCTCACATATAAAATAAATCATTTTAATCTCTTATTAATTTTTTTTGAGGGAATCTCTTATAAATTCAAAATTCCTCTCTTATTTGGTTGCTGAACACATTTCCAACTATACTTTCAACCAAGATAGTCACATGCATATCAAATTCCAAAAACTTAAGAGGCAATGTTGGAAGCTCACCTCATTCTCTCTTTTCCTTTCTTTTTCAAAGTCTAAATACTCGTCAAATGAAACAGAAGAAATAAACAAAAGCTCATGAAAATCATAATATCTTTTCCTTAAATTAGAAAAAAATATATACAAACCCATTTCGGACAGATATACATTTATCAATTGAAATTCAAAATGATGAAATTAC